GAATAAAACACACTTGTCATCCCACTTTGGCCCAAACAATGTTGTTGTTATGTGCCATCGAGTCGCTTGCGACTCATAGCGACCCTATGTACAACAGCCCCAAACTCTGCTCCGTCCTGTGCCCATTGCACTGTCTGACACTCCCATCCCAATTATCCCAGTCACCGAATCAATCCACCTCATAGAGGGTCTTCCCCTCCTGTGCTGTCCCTCCACCCTCCCAAGAATGATGTCCCTCTCCAAGGACCGGTCTCTCCTCACAAGATATCCAAAGTATGTTAGACGGAGCCTCAGAATCCTTGCCTCCAAGGAGCCACCCGGTTTAACCCTTTTCAGGACAAATCTGTTTGTTTTCCTAGCAGTCCATGGTATTCTCAGTACTCTTCTTCAGCACCACAGCTCAAAGGCATCAATTCTCCTTCTATCCTCCTTGGTCATTGTCTAACTCTCTGATGCATAACAAGGGATTGCGAAGACCATGGCCTGTATTAGACGCACCTTAGTCTCCAGAGAGACACCATTGCTCTTCAGTACTTTGGAGAGGTCCCTAACAGCAGACTTTCCCATGGCAATGAGCCTTTTAATTTCCTGGCTGCTGGTGCCAAGACTGTTGACTATGGAGCCAAGCAAACTAAAGCTGTGTACAATCTCAATCTCTTCACCATCCATCCTGATGCTGCCAATTGGTCCAGTGGTGAGAATCTTTGTCTTCTTGACATTGAGCCTCAATCCATATTGGAGGCTGCAGTCCTTGACACTTGGCAGCAGGTGCTTCAGGTCCTCTTCAGTTTCAGCAAGCAGGTTTGTGCCATCTGCATAACTCAGGTTGTTGATAAATCGTCCACCAATCTTGACCCCACATTTCTCCTCGTAGAGCCCAGCCTCCCGGATAATCTGTTCTGCATATAGGTTGAGAAGGTATGGAGATAGGATGCATCCCTGGCGTACGCCCTTCCCAATTTTGAACCATGCAGTGTTCCCTTGCTCTGTTCTGACGACTGCCTCCTGGTCCAAGTATAAGTTTCGCATTAGAACGATCAAGTGTTCTGGGATTCCCATTCTTCTCAGAGTCAGCCATAGTTTGTTATGATCTAAACAGTCAAATGCCTTTGCATAGTCAATGAAACAGATAGACATTCCTCTGGTATTCCCTGCTTTCAGTCAAGATCCATCTAACATCAGCTACAATATCTCTAGTACCACGACCCCTTCTAAACCCAGCCTGGACTTCTGGTAGTTCTCTGTTGATGTGCTATTCCAGCCGTTTTTGGATAATCTTCAGTAAAATCTTGTTTGCATGTGAAATCAGTGAGATTGTTCTGTAGTTTCCACATTCTGTTGGGTCACCTTTCTTTGGGATAGGAACAAATATCGATCTCTTCCAGTCAGTTGGCCAAGTGGTTGTTCTCCAGATTTCTTGGCACAACTTGGTGAGCACGTCCAGGGCAGCATCTGTTAACTGAAATATGTCAATTGGTATACCATCTATTCCTGGAGCCTTATCTTTTGCCATTTCCTTCAAAGCAGCCTGAACTTCTTCTTTCATCACCATAGGCTCTTGCTCATATGTTGTTTCATGAAATTCTTCTGTGTCTTCCAATTCCTTTTGATACAGTGACTCAGTATATTCCGTCCATCTTCTTTTAATACTTCCTGCATCATTTAACATTCTGCCGAAAGCATCCTTGATTATAGCAACTTGAGGTTTGAATTTGTTCTTCAGTTCCTTGAGCTTAAGATATGCTGAGCGAGTTCGGCTCTTTTGATTTTCTGACTCCAACTCCTTGCACATTTCACAGGATTATAAGGCAAAGAAATGGGGGAACAGCACGATTATTAAGAACAGCTTGGGATTTCAGAAGAAAAGTCCAGAATATGAAAAGTAAGCTGTAACAAAAAATGTTTTATAGTAACATTGTCACAGTCTTTTTCTTTAATTTTATTTTATTAATTTGTATGTGTGTACCATCAAATCAGATCTGACTGGTACAGGAGGGGATTGTCCCTCCTCCAGCAGAGCATCTGGTGGATTTGAACTGCACACCTCTGTGACTGCAGTGCAGCTTCTTGCCACTAGGCCACCAGAGCTCCCTCACTGTCACAGTCTTAAAGAATATGTCCTGGGGAGCTCTGGTGGCCTAGTGGCAAGGAGCTGCAACTACAATCCCAGAGGCGCACGGTTCGAATCCACCAGATGCCCTGCCGGGAAAGGAGGGACAATCTCCTCCTGTACCAGTCAGATCTGATTTGACGGCACACTCACACAAAAATAATAATAATAAAAAAAAGAATATGTCCTACATGCTTAGATCTACTCCCTAGCTATGTGTGTTTGAGAGAGAGAGTGAGAGTGTGTGTGTGTGTGTGTGTGTGTAATGTCTCCCTGATTAGGTTTATTCCTCGGTATTCTGGTGTGTGAGCTGCTGTGGAGTTTTTCTTTCTTAATTATTTTCTCTCTCTGTGTGTGTGTGTGTGTGTGTGTGTGTGTGTGTGTGTGTGTGTGTACTGTCAAATTGGATCTGACTGGTACAGGAAGAGATTGCTCCTCCTTCACCAGCAGAGCATCTGGCAGATCTGAACCACGTACCTCTGGGATTGCAGTGCAGCTTCTTGCCACTAGGCCACCAGAGCTCGCAGGAGTTTATCTAGCCATCAAACTTGACTCTGCCAAGTGAATATGTAGAAATACGCAAATAGCGAGAGCTTGTACACCTATCCACATGGGGATTGGCTATCTCACCATTCCAAAAGGGAATTGGCCATCTCAGCAATCTACAAGGGGAATGGCTAATCTTGCCAATAAATCTTAATGATTCCAGCAGCAGCAGCACCAACAAAGGAAGAGGCATTCAGAGGATGCTCTTCAGGTGACTGATTTTTTTTTAAATTGTAATTTTAATGAAAATTTATGGAGGACATTATGCTGAGTGAAATATTTCAGTTACAAAAGGACCGAGATCTTTGTGACCCTGGTCTAAAGCCAAGTTCGGAGGCTTAAAGCAGAGGTGTCTGAGAGTACACTTCTGAAGCTGTCTTGATTGAATTCTGTTGCAAATCTGGGTCATAACTTTTTTACTTCCCTAACATGGTTCTGTGTGGTCTGTGAGCTATCACACTGGATTGCGGACCCAGTAAAACAGTCAGATTGCTGTTAAAATGAGCAGTAAGAGGTATGGGAGATTGGGGGACGTGTGACCTCAAAGGAATTGACTTTGTGTTGTTGGTGCTGTTGACAAGAACAGTTTCCTTTCATGAAGTTGGGAGAGGTCAGAGGTAGCCGTCCCCACGTGGCCCTTGCTCTTTTTACAGTTTTTGGCTTTGGTTAGTTTTAGTTTTGCTTTTTTGTTTTGGGTTTTTAAAATAAAAGGGTATTGTAAATGTTAAGTGGCTCTGGTGGTGCAGTGATTAAAGCTCACAGCTGATAATTGAAAAGTCATCAGTGTGAACCCACAATGGGAGAAAAGTATAGTAGTCTACTTTGGGAAAGATGTACAGCCTTGGCAACTTTATGGCAATATATCCCAACGAAATTATAATTGAGAAGAATGGGAATACCAGAACACTTGATCGTTCTAATGTGAAACCTATACTTGGACCAGGAGGCAGTTATCAGAAAACAGCAAGGGAACACTGCATGGTTCAAAATTGGGAAGGGCGTACGCCAGGGATGTGTCCTATCTCCACACCTTTTCAACCTGTATGCAGAACAGATTATCCGGGAGGCTGGGCTCTATGAGGAGAAATGTGGAGTCAAGATTGGTGGAAGATCTTTCAACAATCTGCGTTATGCAGATGACACAACCCTGCTTGCTGAAACTGAGAAGGACCTGAAGTGCTTGCTGCAGAGGATCAAGGACTGCAGCCTCCAATATGGATTGAGGCTCAATGTCAAGAAGACAAAGATTCTCACCACTGTGCCAATTGGCAGCATCAGCATGGATGGTGAAGAGATTGAGATTGTTCACAGCTTTAGTTTACTTGGCTTCACAGTCAACTCTCTCGGCACCAGTAGCCAGGAAATTGAAAGGTGTATTGGAATGGGAAAGTCTGCTGTTAGGGACTTCTCTAAAGTACTGAAGACCAGTGGTGTCTCTTTGGAGACTAAGGTGCATCTGATACAGGCCATGGTCTTTGCTATCACTTGTTA